CTCTCTCTCTCTCTCTCACTCTCTCTCTCTCTCTCTCTCTCTCTCTCTCTCTCCTTGTTGCTGTAGTGCCACCCCAGTGGCTGTCTCATTGACCTCTGTATGCAGATGGGGATCATCATGGTGCTAAAACAGACCTGGAACAATTTCATGGAGCTCGGCTACCCGTGAGTGTTTTTTCTCACCTTCAAATGTCAGACATACCAAAAACGTTTCTGACCAAACAACCAACAATGAACAATGAAATCAACAAGTTCAGTGTTAAAGTTACTGTGAGGAACTTTAACTGGTTATAAGAGACTTAGGCTGTATTGCTGGGCCCACTGGAGGGAAGGAAGACTTGGGGGAACCTAAAACCAGGTCTGGGTGGGGGAGTCTGTCAGACCCTGTTGCAGTAAAGTGAGAGTTTTTCTAAAAGGACTTTGGCGCTCGGAAACGCTACCGCTTTTGTCCACAGGGACCGCCAAAATCAACACAAGCTAAAAGTTGTAGCTTTGTAGTAGCTTTAAGGTAAATATCCTCAGTCAGATGTTGTGCATGTTGACTATTTTCCTGACTGCAGAGTTATAGCAGATTAAATGAAATCTTGTCTGAGTTCTGAATCAATCATCTCTTGTTGTTTGTTCTGTTGTTGTTTGGCTAGGCTGATCCAGAACTGGTGGACACGGCGGAGGCTGCGGAGAGAGCACAGACAGAAAGCCAAGGCCAGCTTCCCCCAGTGGGAGAGGGATTACAACCTGCAGCCAATGAATGCCTATGGACTCTTTGATGAATACTTAGAAATGAGTATGTTGCACCCGAAGTGCCATGTGTACATTTTCTATTGAGGTTTAGCACAGATAGTAAAACCCTTAGCCATGTTAGCCCCACAACCTTAGATATCAGGTATAAGGTTATCCTAATTGCACTCTACGGCTTAATCCTCTATAATACAATTTTTTTAAACAATAAAACCTTTTCATTTGGAGCTGGAGCTGCTGCAGTGCATGTTATGCAACTGTGACACTGCTTTGCTATGGATTCAATTTGGGCTGGGAGCTTTACCACATGCTCGCATCTTTATTGTTGCTCTCCACTGTTGCAGTTGTGATATAAAACAACCAAAGCTGCACTAATCAACACTTTTACATTAACAAAAAAATGTGTAATAGGAAAGGGGTCACTTGTAGTGATGAAACCTCCGAGAGTCATCACTCAACTGTGCAGTTTCCTTTAACATTTTTGCGCCTTTCAGCTTATTGTTTTGGTTTTGTAGCTCACAAATTTATTTTGGTTCACTCTCACTGCTGAGTTACTTTCAGATATAGCAGGCAGCTATTTTCAGCAAAAGGGTCTCACAAACCCTCTTTACACCGCCGGTTCAAAACCAAACAACTGCTAGCAAACAAAGCTAGCAACTAGCTCGTTGGCTTAGTAGAGCTTTTAGCAGCCATCAGAGCCAGATATAGAGATTTCAGGTGTCTTAAAAAAGCCTGTTGCAAACAAATGGCTAAATGACAACAAAACGTCATCACGCCGAACACTAGTCTACACTGAACACTTAGTTTAGTGCTGGTGGCGTGAAGTCATGTGGTCTGGTGTAGTTTGTTTATCGCCTAATGTTAGCTTTTTACTTCATGACAATTGTATTTACCCTTCAAAAATCATAAAAGGGGTTTTCACTTGTGAAGATTATCTTGGGGATCCAAAACTGGATGTATTTTAATACTTTGATTTCTGCAACAATCCAGAATCCAATGGAAAAAGCTGTTGTAGTTTTGTCGAGGTAACCAGTGTGATGCTAACTTCCAGGCTGGCCTACAAAAATACGTCATCCCTGCCTATTTCTCTCAGGAGTTGAATGAGAGAAAACGGCTATAATGAAAGTGAATATCGGACTTACTTTCATCATGTAGCCAGACAGAATGTATCTTTCACATCTGCTGTACGTACGCAATTATTTGCTAACATGTTACCCATGATGAACCTCTGCAGGAACTATGGGACCTGAAGGCTTTTGGTTTTTGTGTTTGTTCCAGTTCTACAGTTTGGCTTCACCACCATCTTTGTAGCCGCTTTCCCTCTGGCCCCTCTCTTAGCGCTGCTGAACAACGTCATCGAGATTCGTTTAGACGCCTACAAGTTCGTCACACAGTGGCGGCGACCTCTGCCCTCACAAGCCAAAGACATAGGTGAATGTTGTATTCATTTTGTTAGGCACAAGAAATCTTTGAAGCTTTAAAGTTTTCTGTTTTCAGTTTTTTGGATAATACAGTATATTGCATGTATAACTGTATGCGTCTGTGGCAGGGATCTGGTACGGCATTCTGGAGGGCATCAGCATCTTGTCTGTCATCACCAACGCCTTTGTCATTGCTGTTACCTCAGACTTTATCCCTCGCCTTGTTTACGCCTACAAGTACGGACCTTGTGCTGGTCAGGGTCGAGCAGGGGAGGGGTGAGTGATGATATAACAGTTCATTTGTTTTAGTGTAGTTAAGGTCCCTGTTAGGGCCTTTGTTTCTTTTACTTTATTAACTTAGTGTAGCAGTGTTTTAGGGCTGTACCGAATAGTTTCGAAGCCTCATTTGTAATTCGTTGGGGGGGGGGGGGGGGGGGGGGGGTTCTGCACAGTTTGTTCCCGTTTTAGAAACTATAAGTGTCGGATAAAATGGTTGCTCATATGTTCCTCAGGTGTATGATCGGTTACGTCAACGCCAGTCTCTCAGTGTTTAAGGTGTCTGACTTTGAGACGAGATCAGAGCCTATGACTAATGGCTCCGAGCTGTTTGGAGAAGCTGTTAAGCATTGTAGGTAAGCCGTGTGTATGTGTTTGTGTGTGTGTGTCAGCTTTCAGTGCTCATCAAGCTTAAGATGTTACAAATATACTGTAAACTGTCATTTCAGTGCCTGTTGCACTAAAAAAAGAAACTCGACGGAAGCGTATTCATTTTAACAGGATTTGGCAGCAAGCATTTGCGCAACGCCAGGAAAGTGTGTGTGGTGTGTTCATCCATCACTTCATTAATGATATCTATTAACCAACACGCAGGCTCTTTTTGAGCTCTGCATAAAATATTAATCGCAAAATAAATAGTTCAAACAGGAGTTTAGATGTAACCCAGAAACCAGCTTCAGCAAGATTACACCAAGTCGCAAAGGGAAATTAAAGTCAAAGTTTTCCCATTACACAAAAGACAAACCTCATGCTGAAAACAGATGTTGTACACAAGTTATTGTGAAGCTTGATAGGACATTTATCTTTCCTTGTATGTGTACAGATGTTGCATCCTGAGCTGAACTTGTTTCTTCGGTTTTGTCGGGTCAATGAATCACTGACACGAGTTATCATTAGCGCTACGCTGTGATGACCTTTGAGCTCATCTGTTTGACCCACCAGGTATCGGGACTACAGGGAACCTCCAGACACTGCTGAGCCCTACTCATACACTCTACAGTTCTGGCACGTCCTGGCAGCCCGGCTAGCATTCATCATCGTTTTTGAGGTAAGTGTTTTGAATCTGTGACATATGGCACCAGACAGCTGGCTGGAAATGGATTCTTTCATATCCGTTTCACCTATGTCTTTCTACTTATGAGTGCCCATATACATCTAGCTGTAATTTGCTCACAGCAAATGAAGAAGTCTTGTGGTTTTAAAGTGACTTTATTTTCTCTTTCTACATCTGACAGAAGTATTATATATATACAGTGTTTTGAGGAATTACTGTCGTAAAAAAAAACCTTTAGGCTCAGAATATCAACTTTTAAAACCAGATTAACTCAAATTGTCTCTTAGAAAGTTGTTTCAAAAATGCCTACGATTTATCTTAGTCTTGAATTGCCTGGACTGATTTCCTAAAGGAATATTAGAGTTACACCAGGCTTAAAGCTTAGTCTATGTGCTGACAGATTTAACTTTAAAGTCATGCTCCCTGACAGATTATTCAGATTAAATCAGTGAATAGCACTTGGCACCACTAGCAAGACCCATCCAAATTTCAAAATAAATCACTTTGATGAAATCCATTCCGCTAGACCAGGGAGTTTGGTCGTCTTATTTCACCATGTCGCTTTAAGGTTTTGGATATTTTGTTTGTGAACATTTATGCCTCCCGTGTTTTGTCCGTTTTCACTCCCGACCACGCGATTACTTTGAACTGCTCCCAGCTTTTTTATCAGCAGCCTCAGTCCAGTGCCATGTGCACACACTGCCACTAACAAGCACTCACAGAGGTGCTTCTAATTAGTCTTGTTCAGCTTACGCTCCACAAAGTCACAAAGTAGTAAGATATGTTACAAAAAGCCACTTAAAAAAAACATTAAAACTGCACCAAATGACATTAGTATACAAACAATGTTTGAAATGACCATGTGTAAAGTGGGTTATTAAATTCCCTGTGTTGGTTTGTTCCCACCTTATCACTTTAGCATTTGGCTTGTTTTTTATTGTGGAGGTAAGGCGCTGGCATTTGTGATAACGTTCTCTGCTTTTGCAGCACATGGTCTTTGCCATCAAGACCCTGATCGCGTACCTGATCCCCGACCTCCCCAAGGACCTGCGGGACAGAATGCGCAGAGAGAAATACCTGATCCAGGAGATGATGTATGAGGCCGAGTTAGAGAGACTGCAGAGGGAGAAAAACGAGAAGAAGAAGAAATACAGGGCCCATCACAAGGAATGGCCCTGAAATGCACCAAATGGTACGGCCGGAGATCCAGAAACTGTTTGTACACGAGATAATTGAGCTCTGTCTACGACTGGTGTGGAGTTCACTTTGTGGCAGCGGGCCCTGAAGGCCATCGGGGTTTGGTTTAGCGTCAGCAGCTCTGCCCTGCTCACTATTGGATTTGGGGAAGCTGGATCCAGAAACCCCAGATAGTGTTATTTGAACATCAAAAGAAGTTTCTCTTGCAGCATTAAATTGTTTAAAATATGAAAAATGTAAGCTATGCAGCCAATATTTTAAGATTAAATTAAGGACTTTTTCATCATAAAACATATCAAAGCTACTGAATCCATGCTAGAAAAGTTAAAAGCAATTTAAGATACATTTTAAGAGGCCAAAATCAAGTTGGAACAAAGGGAAGGAAAGGAAGCGTGCTCAAAGGAAAATTCATGTATATTTTTGCCTTTCAGACCTAAGATGTGTAGAAATAGAAATCAAAACATTTGAAGTATAACGCTGTATGTTTCCCACTGTTAACAGGCCTTACCATATCGTCTCTCTGATTCCCAGGTTATCGGCTGGTGTTCGGTTTTTCCACTGCACAGTAGAGGAAGGAGAGGAGCGCTGGGGTTCCTGCATGATACTGGACCCTCATATCTTCCTCCTGCCGTGTCAGTCCAGCGCCCCCTAGCGGACAGTTGATGAACTGCCCCACCCAGTAACCACAGGGCCCGTGTGTCCGCATTCAGTACGGACGTCCTCTCGAACAGTTTGGCAGTGGGTTTTGCTACCTTTTCTTTTTTTTTCTCCAGATTCTACCACTTTGGACTCTCAACAGCGTATGTCTTCAGACCCTGAATGTAGATTTCAAGCAAGACTACACTTTTACAGATGTCTCGTTTTGGACGAGAGAAATGACTCTACTGGGCTTACTGAATGACAAACCCTGTTTACATGTCTCCTTCTTTGAGGGGTTCACGTATTGATTTATTGTAAATAAAGATATTTAAATGAATGTCAGGCCATCTGCTCCGCTTTAGTGTGATGCAATAAAAAAATTAGAGGATGCAATTTCTGAAGAAATGGCGGTGGGTTTGCTGGCAGCTGAAAATCCGACTGATGGACAGTTGAACTGCATTGCTTCTTGTAGCCTGTAGCAGGTAGCTGAACTGCATCGCTTGATAAATAGCAGGCAGCTAAACTGCACTGCTGGCGTAACTTTGTATGAAGGAGCAGCTGAAAGCGAATGTTATAAAGTTATAAAATATATTGTGAGCAAGTGTCTTTTTTTGGAATAAGTGTAAACCATCAGTTGAGGTCTAAACCCTATAAACACTAGCAGGAAAACGTTAACATTTTTATTTTTAAAAAGTTCTTTTAGCGCTCAGGAAGACCGTCGTAAGCTCATATAACCCTTTTTAGGGCTTTTGTTTTGAAAATCTCTCAGCCTACTTGAGGGTCCCCTTGTAAACTCCTGTTTCCATCTGAAGACTTTTATTTTGAAAGTCCTGCATATTCCAGAGCCTCCTGGAGAAACTTAGCGGTTCTCACTAAACATAATATATTTAATGTCCTTGTTCAAAGAAGAATGACATGTGGTCACACCTCGTCTCACAACAGTTAAGAATCCACCAAGGAGCCTTTCACAGAGGTCGGAGGTCTAATTAGCAAATCTGGATCAGCTGTGAGTCTCCACCTGCAATTAAAGATTGCCATGGGGATGGCACCTGCCGAATGACTCCTGGGTTCATCTCATGAGAGCCGCCTCTCAAACCCTGGCTTATTACTCACAGACTGATTAATTCATTAATTCTTATTTTTTAAATGTGTGTATCGTGAGAGAGCGGAAACCGTGCTGGACAAGTTTCAAAGTTAAAGCCAGTTTAAAAAAACTTTCTGTTTTTTCTGTTTTATTCTGTAAATTTCCAATCTCAGTTAACATTGAAGTCAACGGGGCAGTTGGGTTGCGCTCCTGTTACGTTGAGGCTCATAGCGCAAAACGTGCCTGTCTGTTTTAGTAGATAAAGACGTTGTTTGAAAGAGGACGAAGGAGAAATTGTTATTCCGATAATGTCCTCAAATGAGCTGAACATTTTTTAATAAAGTTGTGTTTAAGAAGAATAAGGAATATGGAGAACATAGATTGGATTGCAGCTGTTGCCCAGCAATCTCACCAATAAGGACAAACTGAGAAAGAAGACTGCTCACTTCAGCATTCCCAACAATAAAATCTATAAAAACTGTCCACAGTTGGCTTAAATGGGAAATGCTTTCCATTTACATGCATAACTGCAGTAATAAATAATATTTATTGTAAGGAAATTTGACTTGACTATGTGTTTCTTTCTATCAACCCTTTCAACCTCTCTACAGATATGTAGAGTGCCGCCCAACAAAGCCCAAATAAAGAAAAGAGGAAACGTATAATTACATCCCGTGTTGACTTTACATTTCTAAAAGACAAAATAATACAATTAAATAATACAATTTGGTTTTAATTATTGGTAAATAGTGTTACATTGGTACAGTTCTAAATAATTAATTCCAATTAATTGCAAGTGTATCAGAGAGTCTTTAAGTGCATAGTCGATCAGTTGAACAGGAAAAAAATTAAAATGTACTAACAATAGATACATTGACAAATGATGGACGTATAAATCGCCAGCACGTGTCCAATAAAGTCATTTGATGATTTTACAGTCAGCCATGTTACACAGAGTCAAAACAATGACATAACATCTATGCTGCTTTCTGTTTAGCACAAGAAAGCTGTTTGAGATGTTTTATTTTTCATAAACATATATATTTTGTTAAAATCATTTTTATTGTATTCATCCATAAAGAGATGAACAAGCAAAGACAAGGAGCAAAACAACAACAAAAAACACTTTAACTATTCCTCAAAAATGGGATGAGTGTGTTCTCTGCATCATGATAGTTTCAAAACAATAATGTCATTTTTCACTCATACAGGGAAGATTTTTTTCCACAATATTTATCTTAATTGTGCATTTACATCTTACGTACATTTCATTTCCCAACAAAAAAAGGTCCTATATGCTCATATGAAGACAAAAATTCTGGGAAAAAAAATCTTGATTTCTTTTTATTTATTTTGTTAAAATCTCTCAAATTCACAAAATTAATACTTTAGGACCTCAGTGTCCCCAGTGGTAGCTATATGGCCTCCGGGTCAAAGGTTAACAGTCGTTGAGCTCAACCAAAAAGTCTCTTTCACACCACCAGAGGGAGTCAGAGCGCTTACTTATGCTTCAGCTGAGACACACTTTCACATCGATATATTCTCATACTTCTCATTAGAAAAAAAGATAATTATAACAAATAGCATAACTACCAAGTTCTACATAGAGTAATACAACTGTAAGGCTTTTATAAATGTGTGTGGTGTTGAACATTCTTTAACCTGACCACTAAGATACTAAGACGTGTGCCCTGTGCAGGTGGCCTTCAAGGCTGACGGGCTTCAGTGCAGATAAGCAGTTTTTTCACAATCATCTTTATTGCTCCGTACATTAGGAAGCACAGCACTGCCTGCATAATAATGTCATTCTATGAGCGTATCCACAGGAGCGCTGAAAGAATCAATGATGCTTTTAAATACCGGTCTGCACGAAGGAAGTTGCTTTTGATTCCGTCCGAAAACACAATGTCACCAGGATTTACATTGTGTTGGACATCCCTGCGTTTTAATACCTAAACATATCTGTTTACAACAAAGTTGATCGTTTTGAACATGCGAATATTCATTTGAGAACAGGGGCTTGTCCTCTGGCATGGATTACTGTGGTGCGGTGGCCTTCGTGCAAACTCCATTTTGATTATTAAAAGCAGGGGACAGGGGAGGCAAACTGTGTTTTGTTTCCTATTAAGGCAACTCCTCTCCTCTCTAAGAGGATTATCCCTGACACACGCTCGGGAGTTACGTAAGGCTGTCAGGGGATAACATCTGACATTTCCTAACATCGGCATAGCTGAGCTGAGGTGTGGTATAGAACGGTTAATGCTCAGTGTAAAAGAAAAGATGGGATGTGTGGACTCACTTTGCCGCCACTGGTCTTTTACAGTATATGTAGAATGGACAGGCCTCACACCTTATTGCTGTATATAAAAAAGGATCTGATGTATGTATGTAATCATTCTAAAGCATGCCACAAGTTGCATGATATTAGTAAACTAAATTTCCGCTGCTGCTTGGTTGATGTTGGTGTAGAGATGTTGAGGAGGATCAGTGATTGTTGGAGCTCCGCAATGCTTGTTCTTCACTTGTTACTCCCCTTTTCCTGGCAATACATTTGGCAAACTGCACAGCGGAATAAGTGGGGCCATTGCAGTCATGTAGAGTAGTGAGACAGATATGTGTCCGATAACAAACTTTGACTTACATGCATTATGTTCTATGTTAAATAACGCAACAATTTGCGGAGGGGACAAGAGAAGTGCGAAGCAACAAAAAGCTAGACATCTTCTGCTTCTCATTTCTATGACAATGAAACAATAATTAAACATTTTTAAAATTACTTTGTACAATAAATGTGCTGCTTGTAGTGACGAACCCACAGCTCACTGTTATGGTTTAGGGCCCACAACGTCACTGTGCTAGTGAAGATAGCAGAGCCAGGTAAAGAGCCAGGTAATTCCCTCAGGAGGTGGTGGAGACCAAAAATGGAAGAGTGAACGTCCGACTTACATCTGCCAGGGGGACAGAAACATAACTCCAAGTGAATGTTAATGATGCTCTGTGCCTGCAGGGTGTGTAGATATGCATCGATTTTAAAGATGTAAATGAGTCAAAGAGGTGTTCAAAGCTCGTTGTAATGCCTTCAAGTGGCAAAAAAAAAAATAATCATGTAGCTTAAAAACCTGACCCCAAATAAATGTGAAACGAATTCTGTAATAAGTAATGAAGTCTTTAGTTTGATCGGATACCACTACAGTGTCCAGTGATTTCAGCTGTGCTAGCTGTTCAACGTAACGGTTCGTATGACATCTTACTAAAAGTTACTCTGGTGCGGACCACCGAACGCAGCAGTTCAATTGCGTTGACTTTTGCGACTGTGGCTCAGTGGTAGAACAGGGTTGTCCTTCAATCAGGAGATCGGTGGTTCGATCTCCGGCTCCGCTTGTCCATGTCGATGTGACACTTAACCCCAACTTGCTCCCGCAGGCTGTTCCTGCGGTGTATGGATGGATATGAATAGTGAGTTAGTCCTGATGGGCAGGTGGCACCTTGCAGGGTAGATCCTGTCATCAGTGTCTGACTAGGTGTGAATGGGTGAATGATGACATGTAATGTTACATGCTCTGAGTGGTCGGGAGACGAGAAAAGCGCCGTACAAGTAGAGTCCATTTACCATTACTTGGACTGCTGCAGGAGTCAGATGTTTGATTGACATCTTGGCCAAAGAGACCGACAGAGTACGAAATAAAGATATGCTGGAGGAGAAGGGATTCATGAGTGACTGGCTTAATCAGCATTGTGTTGCCATTGGAATCTCTTTTATTGGACAATTGTTAATTACTTTGGGCACCTATACCTGGACTTGCACAAATGGAAGGCGGAAAGGCAGCCACACGCTTGTGTAAAGTACTTCATTGTACTGTTGTGCTTTAAATGATGCATTCAAGTTCAATAATAAAGAATAATCATTTAGAGGCTCCAGTGGTCCAGTTGAGGTTTAAATCAAATTCTGTAATTCCCTCTCTCATCGCCTGAATATTTCTGTGTTCAGGTATTGGTTCCTTTCCCAAATCCCATTCTTCAGAGGCTTTTAAACAGAACAGACAGAAAACTGTGGCGACCAGCACATGTTTTCTTCCTGCCCTGTAACCTACATGCTGTACAAATGAACCAGCCGCGTGCCAGAAGCATGCGTCCTTTAAATAGCAAGCAGCTCCCAGCTGCCTGGCATCCAATTTTCCGATAACAAGGGCTGGTTGTAAGCTGCCTGGTCGATTGTTTGCACTCACGGACATTAGAGAGCGAGGCCACG